CTCCACCACCCTTGGGGCATCTCCCATTTTGACCTCGGGACTTCCAGGTTATACTCGGCACAGATGTTCCTGTACACTATTTGGGGGGGGGGGGGGGGGGCCGGCCCACTTGGGTTATGGCGTTCCCATGTAAATGCCTTTGCCTGCTAGCCATCTTTGGCCAACCCTGCCCTGTTAATGTGCTTGGATTGTCCCCTCCTGGGGGCCAAAATTACTTTACACAGCCTGTGCCCCACCTGGGGGTCCTTGCCCTGGTGGTGATAGACCCCAGCCTCTTATGGAATCCTTTGTACTCAGAGCTTGTTTTTCTTTTGTTTGCTTGGCCACTGAATTTAAAGTGCCCTTCTGTGCCTGTTCATTTTCATCCAGCCCCCCCCCCCCCCCGCCCCCTTGTTTTTTTTTTGGGGGGGGGGATTCTACTCCAGCCCCACTGGTAAGGATTTTCTGGATATCAGCCCACCTCCTCTATCTGCCGGTTTGGGGTACATACCGTGCAGGGCCTGGTCCTTCCTGATGGTTCCTCCCGTCTCCCTCCCTCTTTTTCTTGGGTTTTTTCTGGCCTGGGCCTGAGGTATTCAAACTGAGGCACATCGGTCAGTTTGGGGCCCATCCTTCCAATGTAATTCTTTGGATGTTCCGTTGTCCTCATCCTGGACCTGTGGGGGTGCCTTACCACTCACCAGTTCCCCCCGGCCCCTTCCTTTTCCGCTTAGCGTAACAGCCTCAGGGTTGGCCTGGACTCAGGGGTGCTTAACTATAGATATGATTATTATATCAATATTATATATATGTATATATTGTCTATTCTCTAGTTGTAGCCATATTTGTCTGGGTCTTTGGTTTTAATGTTTGGGTTTTTTTTTTTAAATAAATGGAGCGACTTTGTTTAACGAAAAATAATTTTCCCCCAGGGGAATCAAATAAAAGTATCCTGATTCTGGATTTTCTGATAATCCTTTAGTTTGTGTTACTGGTTGTGGATTTTTGTATTGCAAATATCTTCTTTGTTGGCTGGCCCCATTTGTCTTGGAATGAAAACCTGCATGAACCTAAATGTTACATTTTACTGAAGTTGGGGGTTTTTTCTCCCATTAATGCAACTTTATGGGACCACAGGTTTCTACCCAAAAATTTTAAACACTTTTCCTTTATAACTTTCCTGTATTAACATATATGCATTATAAACATAAAAAACTGGCATTGAAAATTTTTGCCTGTGCAAAAATTTAAAACTTCATGACCATTGTTTTACTGAATATAAATTCACGTTTTTAACCCATCAATAGAAAGACTCTAGAGCTTACATCGTGAAACCCGAATTCCCCATTTCTGTGCTTCCTATCGTCACAAAACATTCTGAAACAACCATTAGGTACAAAATTAGATGATAAGATAAGATAGAACTTTATTAATCCCTCGGGTGGGTTCCTCTGGGAAATTCGATTTCCAAAAAAGCACAGGAACGACAGAAGTTACAGAGTTACAGATATATATATATACACACACACACACACATATATAAATACAGAGACAATATAAATAAAATATACGAAGGGGATAAATAGAATAAATAGGAATAAAAATAAAAATACAAGTGAATTGCACATTTCAAGTATTGAGGTCTATTGCACTGTTGACTATTAACAAAAGTATTGCACAAAAGGTATTGCACAGTGAAGTGAAGAGGCACTACAGCTTAGTTGTTCCCCCCTCCTTTGTCCTCCTGTTTCCCCTCCCTCTCCCCTCCAGAGAGGAGTTAAACAGTTTGATGGCGTGTGGGACAAAGGAGTTTTTAAGTCTGTTAGTTCTTGTCTTGGGGAGAAGCAACCTGTCACTGAACAGACTCTTCTGGTTGTTTATGGCCGTGTGCAGAGGATGCCCAGCATTGTTCATAATGTCCAGCAGTTTCTTTAATGTCCTTTTCTCTGCCACTGTCACCAGAGTGTCCAGCTTCATGCCGACCACAGAGCCAGCCTTCCTGATCAGTTTCTCCAGCCTGGATGAGTCCTTCTTTGCTGTGCTGCTCCCCCAGCACACCACAGCATAGAAAAGTACTCCAGCAACCACCGACTGGTAAAACATCCTCAGGAGCTTCCTGCAGATGTTAAAAGACCTCAGCCTCCTGAGGAAGTACAGTCGGCTTTGGGCTTTTTTATACAGGTGCTCTGTGTTGCATGACCAGTCCAGTTTATTGTCCACCCACAGCCCGAGGTACTTGTACTTGTTGACCACCTCCACCTCCTCCCCCTCTATCTGAACCGGCAGTGGACCTTCTCTGGACCTCCCGAAGTCCACAACCAGTTCCTTAGTCTTTGAGGTGTTGAGTTGCAGGTGGTTTGTATGACTCCATGCGACAAAGTTCCTCACCAGACTTCTGTACTCCTCTTCCTGATCATCCCAGATACACCCCATGATGGCCGTGTCATCTGCAAACTTCTGAATATGGCATAATTCAGAGTTGTAGCAGAAGTCAGAGGTGTACAGGGTGAAGAGAAGAGGGGACAGCACAGTTCGTGTCATCTGCAAACTTCTGAATATGGCATAATTCAGAGTTGTAGCAGAAGTCAGAGGTGTACAGGGTGAAGAGAAGAGGGGACAGCACAGTTCCCTGTGGTGCTCCTGTGCTGCTGACCACAGTGTCAGACGTGATGTCCTTCAGCCTGACGTACTGTGGTCTGTCGGTGAGGTAGTCGGAGATCCAAGCCACCAGGCAGGGGTCCACCTCCATCCTGTTCAGTTTTTCCTGAAGCATACAGGGCCGGATGGTATTAAAGGCACTGGAAAAGTCAAGAAACAGGATCCTGACCGTGCCTTTTCCCCCATCCAGGTGTGAGTGGGCTCTGTGTAGGAGGTACAGGATGGCATCCTCCACTCCGACACCCGCCTTGTATGCAAACTGTAGTGGGTCCTGGGCATGTTGTACCTGTGGTCGGAGGAGGTTGAGGAAGAGCCGCTCTAGAGTCTTCATAAGATGTGACGTCAGTGCCACCGGTCGGAAGTCATTCAGCTCATTGGGCCGGTTCTTTTTGGGGACCGGGACGATGCAGGATGTCTTCCATAGGGCGGGCACTCTCCCCAGTCGCAGACTGAGGTTGAAGACTCGTTGTAGCGGCTCCCCAAGTTCAGCAGCACACGCCTTTAGCATCCTAGGACACACCTTGTCTGGGCCTGCTGCCTTTCTGGGGCGAAGCTGATAAAATCTCAAAAATGGCAACTTGTATGAATGACTGCTGTATGCTGAGAGCTTTTTATGTACTTCTGTAACCTTGCTCACACTGATATTTATAAGCTAGTTTAGATAAATATAGAATACCTGACATCTATATATAACAGTTCACAAAATAGATATAGAAAAAAAAAAAAAAAAAAAAAAATTTTAACAAAAAAAAAACCAAAAAAAAGAAACAATATTTTCTTATGGAAAAAATTTTGGAAATCCCACACAGTGGGGGGGTGGGGCCCTTGCCTGCTATTTTAAGCCTGCCCTCCCTTTTTTTTTTTTCAGATAAGGCGTGCTTGTTTTTGCAGAAACGATATAAGACATAATAGCCCCAAACGGAAATCCCCTATAACCAGGGTAGCCCAGTAACATGAGGTAAATAACAAGGAAACATCCTTGCTAAAACTGAGTTTTAAATTGGGCCTGAAAAGGTCCCAAAAGGTTTAAACTGAAAAAGCCCGCAGCCCCCAGGCCTTCCCAGAAGGGGAAAGTCAAGTTTAATTGGAGTAAGAAGAAATGGTTTTTGGCCCCAACGAACCAAGGCCCAATAGCACCTTGGAGTTTCCGTTGGTTTTTTGCTTACAACCCAAGTCTTGAATTGGCACCCCCCCGTTTTTTTTACACCAAACCTAAACCGAAAGGGTAAAATGCAAGTGAAAAGTTTTCCTTCTGATTCCTTTTTCCACTTTTCCACCTCGGTATGGAGGGGAAATTTTGCAAATTTGGACGATAAATAGGTCCCCTGCCAAAATACATTTTCAAAAACTGGAACCCGCTTTTCCTGAGGGGTAATTGGGCCAGGTGCCCTTTGAAACAAACCAGGGCCCCCCCTCCCCGAACCAATTTTCCCTTCATTCCGTAAAAAAAAACGCCGGAAACCCCATTACATTGCAAGTACCAACGGTGATGGCAAAAATTTAGCAATGAAAAAACTTTTTAGGGGGTTCCCCTTCAGCTGGGTTGGTGTTTCCAAGTTTTTTTTTCAAAGTTTAATTTTTTTAATGGCAAACTAAGTTTTTCATACCTTTAAAGTTAACTTTCCAAGGAGTGTAATTTTTGGCCAAGATAATTCACCCAATTAAAATTAAAGAAGAGAATTACCCCCCAATAAATTCAAGGTGATACCCCCCACTTAAAAGAGCCCCCAGCCCAAAACTTAAAAACAAGGCCCCATCTTTTGCAAAATTTCATTTTATGGTAACAAAATTTTGAAAATGCATATAAATTAATTTTTTTTTTTTTTTTTTTTTTTTTTTCTGGTCAGGTATAAAAAAGTGTAAATTATAGCTTCTTATAGTATCAACATCTTTTTTGAAAAGTGGTCCATCAGCGTGCTTTCTTGCCAGTTTTCTTGTACATTGAAATCAGCTTTCCAACACAATTGCTAAGATACAAACAAAACGAACAAATAATCGATTAAACACAAATTCACAAATATACTTTCTGTGCTTTTAGTAGGAACAATATATACTAATAACTTTAACCATGCTCTTGATTTTATTACATGCATAATTTCTTTTTTAATGCATAAATTATGCATTAAAAATGAATTTATTTTTATGTAAATCTTTGATTATTTATTTATTTCTCATTTTGTTTTTCTATATCCATACACCAACAAAGGCTGAATTCCCAAATGTTTGTTTTGTTGCTGTGTCAAAGTCTATAACAAATGGGAGCTGTAAAAGGAGTGCAGACATTTGTCAGGTACAGATGCAGCAGTTTGTGCTCTGTACGCTCACATGTTGTTTCGCTAAAAAGGTACTTGTGCTCTCTGATCATGGATAATCAGTCTAATGAAAGAAGTTTCATTCTGTCAGGATTTAATGAGACGATGAATTTCACAGTACCCCTCTTCTCAGTTACTTTACTGTATTACTGTGTGATTTTGTTCTTCAATATTTCTCTTGTGCTGCTCATTGTCTTGGATGAAAGCCTCCATGAACCTATGTACATTTTCCTGAGTAGCCTTTGCATTAATGCACTTTATGGAACCACAGGTTTCTACCCAAAATTCCTTTCAGATTTACTGTCGTCTTCTCACAGAATCTCATATGAAGGGTGCCTTTTACAAGCTTTTATCATGTACTCATTTGGCTGTTGTGATTTGTCCCTTTTAGCTGTCATGGCCTTTGACAGGTATCTGGCTATATGTCGCCCTCTGCACTACCACTCTTTCATGACTAAGAGGAGGCTTTCACAGTTGGTGTGTTTCTCCTGGCTGACACCTTTCTGTATTTTTAATATGATTCCT